GTGTCGCGCCGGCCGGCTGCCAGCCACGGCCGCGGCCGTGATAAGCCCCTTATTGGAGGCTCGCCGCCGCAGGTCGCCCGAGATGGGAGACTTCGATCGGGGAAACATCTCTCGACCACTTCCCTGGGAGCGGTTGCTCCTCCCGCGTCGCGTCTTGAGGGTCCCCGGGTCCCGTCGAGGGCCTCTGCAGAAGCCGAGCGCTGTGAGAAGCCTCCGCCTCGGTGTTTTTCTGGAGTCCTCGGCTGGCTGCGGCGTCGAGGGGGCGGGTGGCAGGGAGGAGAACGGGCCCCCTGGCGGGCGCGCCGCGCCCGCGGGCCGACCATCGTACGGAAATCTGCTTGACTGGCACTATGTATATATATATATATATACATATGTATATATACACACACAAATGTATATAGCATTTGACAAATATTCAACATGCGTCACTACCGTAAAAGATTCGAACGATGCGGCTTCGAAATACTTCAAATGCTAGCAGTTATGTTCTGAATCTCACAGTATATGATCTGCCCATACAATTCTGCCAAGAAAGTTCGGTTTTTGACGAAAAATAAACAGAGTCAACAACTACCATAAACAAAATGCTCAAACATAGGCCAAAACATCGTCCTCGGACGAATTGTAACCTATTTTTGGGCATTCCTCCTGCAGAGGGACACGCCCGATCTCAACTCGCCCATCGGCCCCCCGCGGGGCGCCCTCGGGGGGAGACCGCGGCGCCCTCCTCTCGGACGCCGAGGCGGGCCGCGCGCGGGCGGCGCGCGGGCGCGCCCCGCGGGGCGCGCCGGGGTTGCCGCGGCCATGGCGGCGGAGGGCGCGACGGGCGCCGAGGAGCGGCGAGTGATGGGCCGACTGTCCACCACCATTGCCACAGGTAGGGGGAGGAGGAGGAGGAGGAGGAAGTGAGCGTTAGGAGAGGAGGCAGGCTTGTCGAAGGAGGAGGAGGAGAAGGAGGAGGACGAGGAGGACGATTGTCCACCGCCTCAGCCACGCGCAGAGGGGGGTGGGGGGAGGGGGGGGGGCTTCTTGGAAACACCCCTGCTTCTTAGAAGGCGCGGGCCTTATCTATAGATGTAAGGCCGCCGCCTTCCAAGATGCAGCCTCCTTCCCCCCTGCCTCCACCCCCTTGTGCGCGCCGTCAACCACCACTGCCACAGGTAGGGGGGGGAGGAGGAAGACGAGGAGGAGGAGGACGAGGAGGAGGAGGAGGGCCTCCACATCCTCCCTGCTCCCCGTCCTGCCCACGATGCAGCGGTGGTGGGACATCGGCCCATCAGCGAGGGCCTGCCTCGGGGGCGGCGTCGGGAGTGGTTCGGGAGGCGTCGCCGGGTCTCGCAGCTGCGTGTTCCGCACGTGCTCTCTGCGTGGTCGGGAGTGCAGGCCCGGGGGTGGTCTGCCGCAGCTGCGGCGAGGGCGCTCCGGCGGTGCCCGGGCCGTCCCGCGAGCGGCCGGCAGAGAGCCCGGCTGTGGCCCGAGAGCCACCAGGGACAGCAGGGGCTGGACCTAAGCGGTGTGTGGGCGATTTCCCTTCTCTTCCCTCCTCCTCCTCCTCCCTCCTCCTCCCTCCTCGTCCCTCCTCCTCCCTCCTCCTCCTCCTCCTCCTCCTCCTCCTCCTCCTCCTCCTCCTCCTCCTCCTCCTCCTCTTGGCGATTTCGTGGGCCGTGGTCGTTTCGACTTCGACTTCGGTTTGCCGTAGAGGCGCACGGAAGACAAGACGAGGGAGAGCGAAAGCAGCACGAGAACGAGAGGCACCGTTTAGGTGCAGCCCTGAGGGGCAGCATCAGGGGGTTGGGACAAGCTCCGTTGGGATGCGTCGGCCCCGGATCGCCCATTGATCGCCGATGGGGGCCCAACTGCTCCACCCCGCCCGGGAACGCTCGGATTTGCCATCGGGCCCACGCGTTGGGTCCACGCGAGAAAGACGACGTCGGGACCGGCAGTGCCCTCCAGGGCACCATCGGGGAGGGGATATAGGCTCAGAGGGGAGAACGCATCCCCACCCGATCTTCCATTCAGCGCGGATCGGGGCCTGAGGGCCCACCCCGCCCAGGACCGTGCGGTCTCGCTGTCGGAGGCCCATCGCCCGTCTATCGGCAATGTATCGCCGATTCCAGCTCGAGGGGGAGGGGGAGAACCTCAAGTGCAACGCTACTGAGGGGGAGAGAGACTTTCGGGGGGGATGCATCGATCCCAAATCGCTCATTGATCGCCTGTAACAGCTTGAAAGCTATCGGGGGCCTCTCGCCGATCTATCGGCGAAGTATCGCCGATTCCAGCTCGATGTTCCCGCCCTCTCCTCAGCCGGTCCCTCCTGACGTTCAACCTCAGCTAACCGATCGCTGTTCGATCGTCGGCCTGTTGCATCGCCGTCGTCGTCGTCGTCGTGTTCCATCGCCGTTGTCGTCGTCGATTGTCGTCGGAGTCGTCGATCGCCGTCGGCGTCGTCGATCGTCTTCGTCGGCGGCGGTAGAGACTGTGACGGCGGTGGGGGGCAAGAGGATGAGGGGGAGGAGGAGGAGGAGGAGGAGGAGGAGGAGGAGGAGGAGGAGGAGGAGGAGGAGGAGGAGGAGGAGGAGGAGGAGGAGGAGGGGGGTGATCAAGTGCGATGGTCGACGTAGCGTTTTTTCCCACGTGTTCGGCACTCGGGGCATTCCTTAGGCTTCTGGGGACAAGGCCTTTGCAGAGTTCCACAGCGGGGCATCGTCAGAATTCGAACGGATCCGATGCTTCAAACAAGCCTGCGTAGAAGCCTCCGAGCCCTTCCGCTCTGAGGAGCCACTCTCCACTCTCGGCACCCCGGCGCCATTGCTCCGTGCACGGTGGCACCGCGCCCCGGCGCATGGGGAGCGTCCGTCTGGCCGCCCGTGCCCTCCCAAGAATCGACGGAGCAAAAACGCCATACACATATTTTTTGTTGGCGCTCCGCGCGGATCTCTTGGATCCGCGCTGGTCCCCCCACCGGGCGGCGCCGCCGGCGCCGCACTTGGCGCGCTCCGCGCGCCAGGGAGGGGGGCCCAGCACAAGTCCAGGAAATCCGCGCGGACCGTGGAAGGTTAGCAGCACATGTGTCTGCAGTTTTTTCAGGAGGAACAAGAGCACACAGACACAATTCATCGTCGATTCTTTAGAAAATATAGGAAAATATGGGAGGTGGTGGGGACGACAAACAAAAATTAGGAAAGCACGGAAAATATGGGGAATCCTGTTATTTGTGTGTGTATTTATTTGTGTGTCCCAGGGCCCCTTCATGTTCTCATTCCTCGACAGGAGCTCCTCTCTGCCTTCTCGGAAGCCCCTGCCCCACTCGCCCCACGGCCAGCTGCGCGCCGACGAGCCGACGGACGCTGGGCGAGGAGGGAGAGCACCAGAGCTTGTTGCACTCTCGCTGCCGTCGGAGGCCTCGCTGCCCTCGGAGGCAGAGAGGGGGTCCCTCCCGCTCCCTGCGAAGGCCTCCTGGCGCTGTTCGCCCCGGCGGGAGCTGCAACGATCGACTCCAAGCGCCCACTCATCGCCGATGGGGATTTGGGGCTTAGGTACCCCGCCCTGCCATGGATAGTTCAGGAGGGAAAAAATACACAGACTCAATTAATCCTCGGACCCCAGAACATACAGGAAAATATGGGACGTCGGGGGAAGACACAAATCCAAAATATATTGGAAAATATGGGGAATCTATTATTTGTGTGTATTTATTTGTGTGTCCCAGGGCCCCTTCAATAGTGCTGGTTCTGACAGTCTGGGGCCGCTCGTCGATCCATCGGCAAGGAAGGCGTCGCTGATTCGGGGCCGCAGTTGCCCCACCTGCCCCACGGAGCCAGTCTCTCCCCTCGGCGGCGAGCGAGAGGGGGGGAAGTGCGACGGAGAAGGCCTCCGCAAGGCGGCGGGGCTTCTCGGCAGCCCGCGCGCCTTCGGAGGAGTGCTCCGCGTCTTCGGGGAAGACTCCGAAAACTTCTCGGAAGGCCGACCGAGCCCTCTGAGGAGGCAAAATCCACCGTTTCAGGTTCTGGAATCACCTGGAACCGTTCCGGGCTTCCCCATGGGGCCACGAAGCGTGTGAGGGGTACGCCGAAATGGAGGCGGACATGCATGCGGACCCTGCCACTGGGGCCTTCGGCGGAGCACCCCATGAGGCAACGAAACGCGGACCCTGCCACTGGGACCTTCGGCGAGCACACTATGGGGCCATGCAACGTGTGAGGGGAACGCCGAAATAGGGGTGGAACTGCATGCGGACCCTGCCACTGGGGCCTTGGGCCGAGCGCCCTATGGGGCCACGAAACGTGTGAGGTGTGCGCCGAAATGCGGGTGGAACTAACTGCATGCGGACCTTGCCACTGGGACCTTCGGTGGAGCTCCCCCTGGGGCAACGAAACGTGTGAGAGGTGCGCCGAACTGGAGGTGGACATGCATGCGGACCCTGCCACTGAGGCCTTCGGTGGAGCTCCCTATGGGGCCACGAAACGTGTGAGGGGTGCGCTGAAATGGAGGTGACATGCGGACCCTGCCATGGGGGCCTTGGGCGCAGCGCCCTATGGGGCCACGAAACGTGCGAGGGGTGAGCCGAAATGGAGGTGGAACTGCATGCGACCCTACCACTGGGACCTTCGGTGGAGCTCCCCCTAGGGGCAACGAAACGTGTAAGTGGTGCGCCGAAATGGAGGTAGAACTTCATGCGGACCCTGCCACTGGGGCCTTGGGTGGAGCTCCCTATGGCCCACGAAAGTGTGAGGGGTGCGCCAAACTTGAGGTGGAACTGCATGCGGACCCTGCCACTGGGACCTTCGGTGGAGCTCCCTATGGGTCCACAAAGCGTGTGAGGGGTGCACCAAAATTTGCATGGTTGGGACAAAACTTTCTGGGGACGATGTTTTTTTACTATGTCTGATCATTGTCAGACTGCTTTCAACTGTTCCTCCAAAACCCGCCTGTAGAAAAAATGCCCGACCTAACCTTAGCATGTCGCATCGCCGTTCTTGGCCCACCACGCCCCCGGCGCGACGCGTCACGCTCACCGCGAGTGTTCTCCGCCTCCCGCCTGGCGGAGCAGAGCGACACGCCATCAGCTCGCAGGGTACAGCGTGTCGCCAGGGCTGCCACCGCGACACGCAAAGCAAACATTATCCTGGCGAAGGACCCATGTGTGTGTAACGCGGTTGTGGGTCTCGTCCTCGGTGGAACCGCGTGTGGACCTTGCCACTAGGGTCTTTGGGGGCCACGAAACGTTGAAGGGGTGCGCCGAAATGAAGGGTGCAACTGCATGCGGAACGTGTCACTGGGGCCCTGGGTGGAACACTCTATGGCGCCACGAAACGTGTGAGGGGTGCGCCGAAATGGAGGTGGAACTGCATGCGGACCCTACCACTGGGGCCTTCGGCGGAGCACTCTATGGGGCCACGAACCGTGTGAGGGGTGCCGCGAAATGGGGGGGAACTGCACGCGGACCCTGCCACTGGGGCCTTGGGTGGAGCACCCTGTGGGGCCACGGAACGTGTGAGGGGTGCGCCGAAATGCGGGTGGAATGCATACGGACCCTGCCACTGGGCCTTGGGTGGAGCTCCATATGGGGCAACGAAACGTGCGAGGGGTGCGCCGAACTGGAGGTGGAACTGCATGCGGACCCAGCCACTTGGACCTTCGGTGGAGCTCCCTATGGGGCGGCGGAACGTGCGGGGGGTTCGCCGAACTGGAGGTGGACATGCGGACCCTGCCACTGGGGCCTTGGGCGGAGCACCCTATAGGGCCACGAAACGTGTGAGGAATGCGCCGAAATGAGGGTGGAATGCATGCGGACCCTGCCACTGGGGCCTTCGGTGGAACACCCTGTGGGGCCATGCAACGTGTGAGGGGAACGCCGAAATGGGGGTGGAATTGCATGCGGACCCTGCCACGGGGCCTTCGGTGGAGCTCCATGTGGGGCAACGAAACGTGTAAGGGGTGCGCCGAAATGGAGGTGGAATTGCATGCGGACCCTGCCACTGGGGCCTTCGGCGGAGCACTCTATGGGGCCACGAACCGAGTGAGGTGTGCCGCGAACTTGGTGGAACTGCACGCGGACCCTGCCACTGGGGCTTTCGGCGGAGCACCTTGTAGGGCCACGAAACGTGTGAGGGGTGCGCCGACATGCGGGTGGAACGCATACGGACCCTGCCAATGGGCCTTGGGTGGAGCTCCATATGGGGCCACGAAACGTGTGAGGGGTGCCGCGAAATGGGGGTGGAACTGCACGCGGACCCTGCCACTGGGACCTTCGGTGGAGCACCCTGTGGGGCCACGACACGTGTGAGGGCTGCGCCGAAATCGGGGTGGAACTGCATGCGGACCCTGCCACGGGGGCCTTCGGTGGAGCACCCTATGGGGCCACGAAACGCGCGAGGGGTGTGCCGAAATGAGGCTGGACTGCATGTGGACCCTGCCACTGGGACCTTCGGTGGAGCTCCCTGTGGGGCCACGAAGGAGGAGGGAGGGAAGGAGGGAGGGAGGGAGGGAGGGAGGGAACGCTGGGACCGCCTCTTCAAAACGAGGACCCAACAACACAGGATGGTTGGGAATTCCGGACCGCATCCCTGCCCCTTTCCCCCTGCACCTTGCATCTCCGCTACGCGCTTTGGTCGTGAGCCAGGGCTGGTGGCACTGTGAGACCCCGTGTCGGCCAGCGGAAGAAGGTAAAGCCGACCGATGAGACAGGCTTCTGACGCGGGGGGCTTCAATATCCACCACGATCAGTCGCAGTGGCGTGCAGTTGCTTAAAGAAGATGTAGGCTGGGAGGTACTGGAAGAAAGCTACACGTCACAGTACTGTCTTGACAGCAGCATGCAGTGTATGAGGATTGGCCGATAGAAGTCGCACGAAGATGGAGATTTCGAAAGTAGCGCAGACCGAAGCGCGACAGCTGTGCTATTTTTCCAAAGCCGAGTCATCGATCCCCACTTCCCGTGTTGCTTGCCGTACGGCAGGTGCAGTCCGCCCGCATGGTAAGGATGGGCAACCTTCCCAAGGGTAGCCTTTGCATCCTCGCCGCCTCGGTCCATCCTTGGCCACTTTCTTTGGCCGCGCCCCGCTCGGAAAGTTTCGGGATGGGTGTCCAGGGCCCTTGCATCCGTATCGCGCATCCTTCTGATACGGGCCGACCGTACATCAAGCAAGAAATCGGCATGCCAGCAGGTGCCTCCATAAAACTTCCTTTCCCCCCCCATGGCCCCAGGGGCCCACAGAGGCACTGGGGCACCTTTAGGACCGTCGAAGGATGTGCCTCCATATGTTTGATAAGAAGAGGTCTTATCGCGCAGTTGAGACCCATGCCAAGAAACACCCTGCTTGCCTCCAGGGTGCCCTGGGTTTACTTGGGGTTTGATGATTTTGCTCTGGAACACGTGACGTGCCAAGACTAGTTGACGGCCTGGGGTCTCAAAGTTGGGTTTCTTGTGGAAGGTTTCTTGTGGTCGGGCCCTTACAATACATGAATGTTCTAATTTTCTGACCCTTTTCCGCGCCAAGAGCTCTGCCGTCTACACGCACACGCACACCTCCGCACACCGCCCCGCGGCGCACAGGCGGCGGCCGCGAGAGTAAGCCGGCCGCTGCTGCAGATAGCGCCCATGATGGAGGCCGGTTCGGTTGGAGAAAAGGCGGATGAGGAGGTCGAGGAATTGGCGATGGCAACGAATACGGTCAGGAATTTTGGCGTGGCGTGTCGTTCCGCTGGTTTTGACCCACCACGCCTCGTAGCGTCGCGCTATCAACGTCCCCATTTTTACGCGTCAACGTCCAGAGCTGTTCCCAGCATCCGCCCCGCCCAGCGGAACAAGACGCTATCCGATTGCAAGTCATGCGTGTCGTCGGGGCCGCAGCCGCGGCTCACTATGCAAAAGTTCCTGACTGCAAGTAGAGACTACAAAGTAATGAGGAGCAGCGCGGGGTAGCATGGTGGCGTGCTTGATGCTACTAGAGGAAGTAAGGCGGTGACGCAGACAAGGTCCAGGAGCCGGAACAGGATGAGCAGGAGGAGAAAGACAAGCAGAAATGGCAGGTGGAAAAAAATAGAAATGGAAACGAGGAGATGTGGGGTTTGGAGTAGAACAGTCAGAAAAAGATCTGGAAAGAGGTGGAGGCAGAGGAGAAGGAGGAGGAGGAAGTGGAGGAGGACAGGAGAAGCAGCAGCGGAAGGTAGATATTTGGTTCTTTGCTCCCAGACATTCGACGACTCGACTCGTTCCACTCGCCAGCCCTCGGAGGTCTCGATCCCTTCCCCGGGACGGCCTTGTCATCCAGAGTCGGCGTTTCTCCGAGGTGCCCCAGGCCCAGAAACGGTCCCCAAACAAATGTATATGATGCACGCATTTGGCGACCACTGCGGGACGGGCTGGTAGCGGCGAGACCCGACACGTCGAGTCAAACTGCCTATCTGACTTCACCTGTCCTGCGCGCGAGATGGTGGAACAAGTTGTCGCGGAGTGTGTGTTCCCCTAGGTTGTGAGGCCCGTGTGAAGAAAAAGCCCGTGAGCGAAGCGGCGCGCACGCGTATGTTGTGCCACGTGCTTGCATTTCGACCGGTCACCCTTCACCCGCGGGCCGTGGGCTGCTGGGATGTTGTCCCGCCATCTACTCCGACCCCCTCCAGGAGGCCTAGAGGTACGGCAGGCTTGTGCGGAGTCGGTGCGCGCAGAGGTTTTTGACACCGCGCCGATCGCTCCACCTGACTCGAGCCTTTCTGGCCCTGGGCGCCAACCGCTCCGCGCTCCAACCGCCGCTGCCGAGTGGTCAGTGCGCGCGTTGTTCCCACAGGGCGGCGCTTGCGGCACAGGGCTGGCCCAGGTCGCCCGCTCAGGGCCAAGAGTGCGTGCGGTGCGCTCGCAGTTCTGCGGCTTGGCACGGGAAAGGGTGGAACTGTTGCCCAGCGCCTCCTGGGAAAGCCCGGCTATATGAATCGGCGTCGCCCCAACATACTTACACTACATGTGCGTCGCCCCCCCCAGGGGCGACGCGCGCACCGAGAAATCTTGTAGCAGATGCCCCGTGGCGGACGCTTTCTGGCCGCACCGCTCGGGAAACGATATACTACAGGGTGGGTATACTGTATGTTCGGGTCGGATGCGCGCCTCCAAGGAGGACATGTAGTCTTAGTATGTCTCTGTGCGTCCCATTGAAGTGCGGCAGGAGCGTACCCCGCGTTCCCCAGACAGTGCCGCGGAGGGCGCCAGCCTCCACAGGACGACCTTCCGGAGGTCGGCGGGGACCTCCGGGAGGCCCGCGCGTGCCCGCTGCGCCGCCTCCGCGAGGGGTGGCCGGCCGTCGCGCGCGGCACCCGTCGCGCAGGTCACCCACCGGGACTTCCGCTACTTCATGCGGCTGCTCACCAGACGTGCCCAGCTCTGGACCGAGGCGCACCCGGCGGCTGTCGGAGCGGCTCCGTCCTGCTCGCTCCTGTCCTCGCCCCCCCCCCTTCCGTTGCTCCCTCTCCTGCCCCTGTTCGCTCCTGCCCCTCGTCTCCTCCTGATCTCCACCCTCTGCCGATCTCATCGGTCCCATCGCGTTCGTCCAATCTCCGCCACATCTTCCCAAGCGGTGTGGCGGCAGGCGCTCGGAGGACGTGGGCGCCCTCAGGGGCGCACCCGTGCTGAAGTGGCAGGTCTGAGTCGTGAAGTGTCGGCAGCTCAAGAGGCTCACACAGCGAGTGGCTACGAGTGACGGCGCCGAGACTTCCCCAACGCACTTCGCCTCGACGAGCGGACCCAGCCCAAACGGGGATGCGTTGGAGGCCAGGTTAGTCAGTGGAAGTCTGCGCTAATACCGCCGACCGCCGGGCGAGCGCAGAGGCCTCCCGCCGAGAGAGCGTGACAACATCTCGGGCCTGCATGGGCGCTGCAGTGGACTGGACCACACTCGGCAGAGTGGTCGTGCCCAGGCCTCCCTGGAGAATGTGATCTGTTTTGCCCTCTGGGCCATAACGCGCGTTACGCCCACTCTCCCTCCCCCCTCCTCCTCCTCCTCCTCCTCCTCCTCCTCCTCCTCCTCCTATCCTCTCTCCTCCATCTCCTCCTCCTCCTCCATCTCCTCCTCCTCCTCCTCCTCCTCCTCCTCCTCCTCCTCCTCCTCCTCCTCCTCCTCCTCCCGCTCCCTCCCCCCACCCTCCCCCCCCATAACCCATCGCGCCTCCCCACCCCAGTGCGGCCCCGGCACCGGCGCAGTGCATCCGGCACAACAGTCTGAGGTGCTGGACTCACACGGCGCGAGGGGGGGGAGCGTTGCGTCATGCCCTCCTCCCGCCCATTCCCCCCCTCCCACCCACCCTAACGCCCGGTATCGCCACGGATGATGACATGCTCTCATATGTTTCTCAAGGGCTGGCGGTAAAGCTCTGCAATGACTGCCGCTGATTGGCTGGGACAGCCAGGCCGCGACGGAGGAGATCGTGTTCCGTGTCGGAGCTGACAAGTCACCGATAAGTCAAGCGACAGGGCAAGGCACGTTAACCCGTGACAGGTGGATCGGATGCGCGCTCGCGCCGGGGGGACCCTTGTCTGGGTCAACTAGGAATTGAGCAGCCCTGCGTGCCCGACTCGATTGTAGCGCAGGCTCTCAGGCCGCTCCTTCCAGGAACACACCGCGAGCCACGGCGCGCTCACGGAGAGAATTGCCCAACCCATCCAGGCTACGACTTTGAGCACCGTTTTTCTGCGGTCGACGCCATTTCCAAGGCGCTGCTCGACTGCAACCTCCTCTCTCGACGAGTCCAGCATTGTCCCCCCCTGTGCGCTGGCAGCCGCGATGCTGCGGCGGTCTCCAGCAAGAAGCTCCGAGGACGAAGCGAGGCTCGATCCGGAGTCTGGCGGAGGGCGCTGCTGCCGTGGCCGTGAGCAAATGCTGCGGCGAGGTCCCCGCTGGTCGTGCACCCGCGAGGGTAGGCCCACCCGACGGCGGCTGCCGCCCGCCCCAAGAGTTAGCCGTCGCCTCTCTGTCGCCTGCTACTGCTGCGTCCCATGCATGCCGTTTCATCTGGGTTGTGTTTTGCCAACCTCCGTCGACTTGTCCCTCACCGATCGTTGAGGGTGACAGGTTCTTTCGTGCCTGTTTTGTTGGTGTACTCAGTTATAGTACGCCTGCCTCCTCTTCCAGCCTCCTCTTCCACCTCCTCAGGTCATGGCCCTCCTCTTCATCTCCCTCCTGCCTCGTCGTTACCCTCATCAGTTGTTCTGTTCTGTTTCGGGCTGGCGCTGCTCAGAAAATCTTATTTAAAGGCTGCCGCCTCTGCCGCCGCCGACCCCAAGTGAGGCCTTGGGAATTCTTTGTTTTCCGGGGTCGCTGCGTTCTCCGCCACCGCGGTCGGCGTCGAGGGCAGAGCGCTCGCATCCGCTTCCACAGAGCAAGAATGTCGTGTTGTATGCGGCGGCGGCGGATGTGACAATCGCCCCAGCAATTCCTCAGGGTTGCTCGGTCCGTGTTGGGAAGTTTCGCCACAGTCTGCAAACGCAGAAAAACAGCGTCAGAGGTCAAAAATATGTCAAAACAAGGCTTTGCGGTGTGTTTATGTTGAGTGATTGAGATTGCCTAAAACAGCCCCCAAAAAAGAAAACAAAGGTTCGAACGATTATAACGAATGTTGGGCTACGATACGTCACGAAGACAACAGCTGCATTGGGGCCCCTGAGGATAGGTTGGACATTTCCAATGTTGTAATGTCACGGTGTCAGCTGTTAGCGGCTGCGGTTGGTTGGGGCATGTCTAGGGCCATCTCGCGTTACAACCTAGGGATATCATCTTGGACTGTCTTGGGGTCTACTCTTGGACGGAGCGGGGCCATCTTGGACGCGAGTTTGCCTGTCTCTGCCAACCTAGTAAAGTCGCGGTTGGGGCCATGTTGGAAGCGGTTAATCATCACTCTCGGACGTCTTTGGGGACATTCAGTTTTGTCGCAGGCCACTTTGCACCACCCGTCATTTGCATTGCAGCTTCGGCCCAGATAGATCAACAAATTTCAGCGCAGATGCTCCTCTTCCATATCTTCCATATCAGTGTGTTGCTCGGTGTCTCTGTCACCGATGCAATGCGCCGCCGAGGCGGTGATGTCCATATTGCCCAGCAGGTCGCAGTCATGGCTAAGAGACTGAGGCGCGCGGCGAGAGAGCAACGCCAACAGATCGAGTCGAGAATAAGAATTCGCAGTTCTGGGCCCCAGATCGCTTCTCGAGATGATGGCGAACTGCTGCAGTCCCCGATGGTGAGATCTCGGCAAAGCTTTCGATGTATGGCAGCTCGGTGTACGCTTCCGTGGAGAATACCAGCAGAGTTCTGTGGTGATTGTTTCTCGATTCTGGCCCAGGTCGTGCAGTTGCAACAGAAGCTGCAGAAGCCCACAGAGTCGAGTTGGACCCAGATGCGGCGAAACAAACAATCATCATACATTCTAGTGCCATACTCAACCTGGAAAAGTACATTCGGAGATCGATGCTCAAATCAATTGCAGCACATCCTTCGGCTCGGCTTTGTCACATTGTGGATTCGATTGGCTTCGATTGTGCATCATTTTATGTCAGTGGTACTTCAGATATGCGTTTCAAGAAGGCTGCAAGCGAGACGTGGCCGTGGTGGCGGGTACACAGCTCGAGCAATTATGCGTGAAGCCCCGAGGTGCTATTCGAGCGAAGTTGTTACTTACAGAACTTTCGTATGGTATACTGGCGGCGCGTGCTAGTGGTCAGGGTGATTCAAGATACGTCATGGTCACAACTCGTATTGCTTCACCGTCGCAGGGACTGAAGAGCAACAGTGCGAACGAAATCATGTCTGCTTTGGTGGAGAGTGGTTGCACATCTCTGGACGACCAGCGCAGCGACACCCAGACCACGATAATGCAATGCGACCAGCACCCATCAAATCTCCAATCACTTCGAATACTTGATCGGCGAAGGAAGCGCACAGTGAAGACATGGGCCCAATTCCCTTCATATTGTTGCGCTCGCAAGGTGGTGCACATCTCAGATGCCGCAACCAGCTCGTATCTTCTGAAGTCCGTGCGGCAGGCCATCGCGCACATCGGTTTGTCTCTGGTGGATTCGAGCATGCAGCACGACCTCAAACAATGTTTTTCGACGTGATCAAAGCCAGCATGCACATCAGGCACGGCTACTGCGACGAGGGCGACGCAATTCACCGTCGTAACGTTTTGCTTGCAACAGTGGGAAGTGGACCAAAGGCAGCTCTCAAGCGGATGCTTTGCGACACCAGCGCCGACGGTTCTTGGGAGTCAGATTCCATCATCGACGCGTGGGTTCGCCCAGGGACTCAGTTGATCGAGGAGGCAATTAAAATTAAGGCGGCAAGTTGCTTGACCGATGCTTACATGAGTTCCCGGTGGAAGGTCTTCGACCCCAAGAAGATGGCCAAAGGCGAGAGAGCACTATGTGAAGTTTGTCTGCCACTTCATTGCTGCAACGCCCTACCCAGGGCTTGGAGCGAGCTCTGCGCGCGCCAGCGGAGCCGAGGCAGAGACGCAGGGCGGCCTGCCGAGCGCGATGTTCATTGTCGGAAGGAATCCCAAGAGCCGCGGGGTTGCGGGCGATTTCTTGAACCCCAAGGGCGCCGACCCGCTGCTGCCGCGCGGGGCGGCCTACGTACCCCGCTGCATCTACGGCATCGTCGACGGCCTCCACAAGCGCACTTTCACGGTGAATGGGGCAGCCGGGCGACTCAAACAAGAGGCGATTGAAGCCCGACGGCTGGCAGCAGCTGGAGACGGCGCGGCAGTTCGACAAGACCTGCTTCGAGATTACCCTGCCTTAACGCATGCTCGGCTTGAACCAGAGACGAAGGCTTTGCGCCATATATGCAATATATTATTCGATGAAGGTCTTTGGTCGGTTGTGCCGAGGGCAGAGTGCGCCGTCGAGTTGAATGCGAACGCTTTCATGGGTCTATCGCAGTGCGGGGCGCGCGTCGTAAAGGAGTTGTCGGATCCTCACTCTCGTCCTGCATGGAAGGTACTTCTTACAGCGCAGCATCCAGAGTTGGCAGCCCCACTGAAGCAAGGGCTTCAGAACAACCCGCATTTGTTCGACTCTTGGAGCAGGAAGTTCACGAAGTACAACGACCTGGAGATGTTTGAGTCAAGGCTCAAGCTGGCCTTGCACCTCGAGTTGCCGCGCATGGACGCGCTCGACTTGGAGAACGACAATGCGCAGCTCAGGCGGCTTGAGCATTCGCGCGTGCAGCGCGCCAAGGCCGACCTTTCGACGTTGTTAAGTAAGTGGGTGCGTCAGCAATGTCGGTCGCAGAGCTTCGCATCCAAGGTCGGCGGCAAAGCCGCGCGTGATCCTGAAGCCGCGCCTGGGCCTGAACCGGCAGAAGGGGGCCCCGGCGCCCGTGGCCAGCGCAAGCGCGGCAGC